GCTGAGAGTGAAAAGATAAATTTTTCCCTCTCCTCTCCCCCCCAAACTTTCCGTTTAATTTCATCAAATTTGCATTCGATTAATAACACATGCAGTTTCGCAGAGCTTGTTTTCTAAGTATAATTCGGTAAGTTTTAAAGTTTTTTATAAGGTAATAATAAATCTCTCGATCTCGCATCTAATACATGTTATAATTGGATATCTCAGCCGCCTACGACACATCTTTATCGAAGTTGTTGAATAACTTTAGAACTCTCTTCACCGAGATGCAGCCGGCATTTTTATAACCCCGGTCAGCTATTTCTATCTACGGTGCAATCAAAACACGTCGGACTCGCCGCGTTGGCACCCGCGACTGATAGATTCCATATAAACACGCGACTTCGCTCGTCCGTCAATCGAATTCGAGCCGGCTGAATCAAATTGCGTTCGTGGAGAAGTTTTATCTCACCCGCGCATTTATGTATCTCGCGCGATCGGTCGCAGCAGTAGATGAAAGATTATTTTCGATAGACACTCTCGCTCGACGAACGCGCTTCAATCGCAATTGTTGCGGAAATCGACGAGAGTGAGATAATATTTTATTAGCGCTATTCTCTCGTCGCTTTTTACGAGGAAACAATTCCGAATATTTAGCACATCGACAAAACTTTGACACTGAATAAAATGTAGTTTGGCAAACAAGTTTTGCAATTTCTTCTTGGAATGAAGAAACAATTACATTTCCTTATACGCGTGCAAATTATTATCTTCTTTCCAAAAAAAAAAAAAAAAATCGAAGAAATTAGAAAATAAATAAAATCACTTTTTGAAAAAAAAGGCACTTTCACGGGATCTAATGAGAGTAACGGAATCTCGTATAACTCAACGTCTTTCTTCTGGATGGATTAATTCTTTTTTACAAGACACGCTTCTTCAACGAAAAATATAAATTTCTTTAAAAACACAAATTCCGATACTGCTGATATAGAATCGAGAGGAAGTTTCCCTCCAGCAAACATTGGCGCGCGCGAGATACGAGAATTAACGAAGATGGAAAATTTCTTTCAACACGGCGGCTTAATTTCAAAAGCGGCTCTGCTTAAAAAGACCGCTCGGCCAAATCGGTTGCCATTCATCCGAGAGATAATTTCGGAGAAAATCGCTTGCATAGGTAGCACAAACTGTTTCAACGTTCGGCGGCGTTCGGTGCAATGTTGTTCACCGCCTCTATTGATCGAAGCTCACAGAGGCATAGAGTTACAGGCCACTGACGGCGACTATATCTCTTTCCTTGTCTCTCCTCACCTTGTTTCTCCTCCCTTCCTTCCTTTCCCTCCCTCCTTTCTCTCTCTCTCTCTCTGTCTTTCACCTTCAGCTACCTCAGCTCACCCTTTCTCCGTCCCATTCTGTCGACTTTTCTCTCTCTCTTTCTCTCTTTCTCCTTCCGCGATCTGTCTCTTTCTGCGTATTTGGTCCTGAACTATCCGAATTCCATTTCCGTCCAATTACAATTCATCCCCGTTTCAAAGCGGCAGTCACGCCGCGTTCATTTCGCAAGCGCGCCGCTGCCAGAAGCAATCATTTCTTTTCTCCACACTTCACCTCTCCCTTAGCCTTTTCAGCCCGGTCACACTTCGCCTTCCGCTTTCTTCTGACCGTCTGTTGACTGGCCAGCGATGATGGATGCTCGTTTGAAATGCGAATCGCAATGTATAATCTTTACACTATTAAAAAAATACCTTTATAAAAAAAAAGTAAGAAAAAAGCGCTCGTCCAAAAAATTGTTATAGAAGGAAGTGTTTCTCTTTAATATACTTTTTAATCATCCAAAAAATAATTGTCTAAAGAAGTGTTGCTTTGATATATACGGGCTGTCTTGCTGTTACTATGCGTGACTTGGCGCGAGACACTATCGTGTTTCTCGATTACGATACAATATTTAAGTGACAAGTGATTGAAAATGTCATATTTATGATTTAATCGAAAGTTACCAGAATAAAAAATGTAATATAAAACATTATATTCATCGACAGAGATAATAGCAAAATTAGATTAATATTAAAATTAGTAAGATATTTTCAACACACATGCGATCATCGATATTCTAGAATTGTTTCGTGTATTTAATTTAAATTAGACGCGGCACGTTTGCGCATAGACCCGAGATTGTGCACCTGTGTGATAAGATGAGAAGCATAACTAAAGTGAGAAGCGGGCAGTAGAGCGAAGTTTAAGGAGTTTTGGGTGCGAGGGTGAATCTTTGCTAAAGAAAGTTCACCGGAGAGAGAAACGGTGAGAAATTAAGCAGATGCTCGACGTTGAACACCATAAGAGACATAGATTTTTTTTTTCTTTCAACTTCAGTAACGACATAAGTAACTGGATCTTCACCCTCCATTGCGCTCTCGCTCCTCTAACCAAAGTAAGAACGAAGGTCCCTCGATACTTTTGCGAGGCGATGCTTCGGGCGTATCCATCCAGAAGAGAGACATTGTTGAGCTATACGAGACTCCATTACTCTCATTAGACCCCGTGAAAGTGCCTTTTTTATGCTCCGGTAGCTAATCTCTCGAAGATCGATAAGCTTTAAGACGAAATGCCTCAACACCATATAAATAAATAGTTATAAATAACTAAATATTATTTTTTTTTTTTAAATGACGTCTCTTAATAATACGTTCGTCAATATATTCTACCCCGTCTAATAAAAAATTGCGAGAACAAAATATCGAAATTGATCTTGGTGCATCGTTATTCGCGCATACTGGTGCATCAAAACTCGTTATGTTTGTGTATCAATTATATTTTGTATATATTTTTGCGAAAGCTTTGATTCGATACGTGTTGTATTCTGCGGCCCGATATTTACAACCGCAATATTTTCCTTTATATCCAATGTTTGCAATGTTGTTGACATTTCTTTGATCATTGCAGTTTTTGATAAGCGGTTGACAGTTATCGCCTCCAGCAACACCAGCAATCGTGATAACGGTAAAAAAATCCAATTTTGTCGCATATTGATTTGTATCGTTTCTTAAAAGATATTTTTACAAAGTAATTGTAATTAACAGTCATGTTATTCTTTCAATTAATTTTTGATACCGAAAGAATACACGATGAAAGATTTAATTTATTAAAAATTCACGCAAGATCAATAAAATCTAGATTCTAAAAATTATTGCTCTAATACGAATTAAAAAGAAGATATTACACGATGACGAGGTAATTATCGCACGAGAAGAATAAAAGCTTAATCTCGAGCGATCGAGTTGATTATATCGCTCATCTTTCGTTTCTCGCGCGATACGTTTCGTCGGCTTTAATAAATAGCTTTTGCCCATAAGATCGATCCCCCCGTTCTTTCCCGTTCGCGGATAAATTTATCGAGGACGTATCGTTTCGGCCAATTATCCAATTAAGTGCCTACGCGATCGATTCATCGCCTGCGTCTTTGCCTTGGAAAAAGCGGCGAGAGTCGAGAGCAACATCGTTGATTGGCTGACCACCCCCGCATTATACGCGACATCGTCATATTCGTCGTCCCGGACGTGCGTATTGCCCGATTGATGACGACGATGATGATGATGATGATGATGCGGATTATCGACGATGAAGTATCGCGCTCGCATCGTGCACGCCGTCAACCCTACGCCGTGAATTATCGGCGAGAGACTCTCGCCTCTCGGGGCGCGAATCGAGGTACAACAATCGCCGTTCTTGAACGCGATGTTCGAGCGGATGTTCCGCGATATCCGCGTGACGCACGATTCCGTATTATACGCGGCGGATTCTGCAGCATCCCGCATCCGTGCGCATCTCGTCTCCCCCTCATCCTCCCCTTCCTCTTCCCCGCCGGCTAGATTGCAGCGGCAAATGCGATTTCTGCACCGATCGACGCGTCGTCATCGTCGCCTAATACGATCGACAATTAGATTTTGATCGAGGTTCGACGTCGCTTCGAAATCCCCGGCTTTGATGATGTCCAGACGCTGCTATCGATTTGATCCGCTAATGCATCACGTTAAAGAGTTTCGCGATCGCGAGAATGAGACGAGAGATGATCCGCCGCTGATACCTTTTGAGATGTCGAACGCGATAAACGCCCACTGCACGATTGTTCGCTCGTTGTCGTTAGCAATATGCATGATTTAACGACTCTCTTAAGATATAAACGATTAATGAAGCAATTAAAATACATATCACAGGTTTTATATCTTTGATTAATACAATATTTTAACGTTATACGTATACTTCTTCTTTTTAGTTAACACGCCGATGCCTTTTAAAAATATTATATTAATATATAATTTAAATATATAATAATTCGCTCGCATCGTGCACGCCGTCAACCCTACGCCGTGAATTATCGGCGAGAGACTCTCGCCTCTCGGGGCGCGAATCGAGGTACAACAATCGCCGTTCTTGAACGCGATGTTCGAGCGGATGTTCCGCGATATCCGCGTGACGCACGATTCCGTATTATACGCGGCGGATTCTGCAGCATCCCGCATCCGTGCGCATCTCGTCTCCCCCTCATCCTCCCCTTCCTCTTCCCCGCCGGCTAGATTGCAGCGGCAAATGCGATTTCTGCACCGATCGACGCGTCGTCATCGTCGCCTAATACGATCGACAATTAGATTTTGATCGAGGTTCGACGTCGCTTCGAAATCCCCGGCTTTGATGATGTCCAGACGCTGCTATCGATTTGATCCGCTAATGCATCACGTTAAAGAGTTTCGCGATCGCGAGAATGAGACGAGAGATGATCCGCCGCTGATACCTTTTGAGATGTCGAACGCGATAAACGCCCACTGCACGATTGTTCGCTCGTTGTCGTTAGCAATATGCATGATTTAACGACTCTCTTAAGATATAAACGAATATTTTAACGTTATACGTATACTTCTTTTTTTTTAGTTAACACGCCGATGCCTTTTAAAAATATTATATTAATATATAATTTAAATATATAATAATTTATATATTTATATTATAATAATTTATGTTACTAAACTCACCATTTTGCCGCGATAACCTGATTCCGATGTTCATTCGTAAGATCTGCAACAATAATGTTAATAAAAAATTAATATAAACACTTGATAGATTAACATAAAGTCTATTGAGAGTATCAAATTAAAAAAAAAAAAATGATCACATATGTGTGTTATGTATAAATAGAATATTAAAAATCCTAAAAAAGAAGCAGATGCATTATCTCTTCAATATTGCAAGTCGCGGGAAGCGGCGCTTTAAAAAATACAACTAGGTCGGAAAAAAATGTTTCTCGTACTCTTTGTTCTTGTTTGACACAAAAAGCATCTTTGTATATCGACTATAAAAGGTATAAGACTGAAGAAGGGGTTCTAGGCAGAGTACGAATGTGACGTCACACATTTGTATATAAACAGATTGAAAAGCTCTTTTTCGAGGAGTTCACGTAGATTTTCGACAATGCCAAGTATCGTGCCTATTATTACATCAATAATATCATTCGAAGTATCTGTAACAACGCTCCTTTTTACAACACGTATTCGCACCGACGTTTGAACAAGGAACTGAACCTTTGCGGTCTATCCTTCTTTTTTTCTCGCGCAATTGAATCTTTGCGGTCAATTTTTCTTTTTTCTCGCACGTGTGCGCATCAATAGTAATCAAGGGATTATTAACTGATTGCTCGTCGAGCTGCGGCTCAGGGACACTTTTTGCCGTGCAATCTTCCGTTCGTCGTCGTCGTCGACTTAGCTCGCCCATCCATCGTAGGCGCGTATAAAAGGACCGTAGTGGAACGCGATCCGGAGCAGTGTAGCACGACGTATGTCCGGTCTCGTGCCTCTCGTCTCGTCCTCCCCGAGTGATCGATCTCGCGTAACGCGTTACACGTACGTAAATATACGTATAGAGCCGTTCCCTCACACGAGCGACAGCATACCGTGAGATCACCGTGAGTTCTCGGTTCGCTGACAACGCTATAAAAGATGTCGCAGCCGGAACAAGGTGGCAGTGCGCAGTGCGACAAGGACATGTCGACGTCAAAAAGTAGCTCGATGTTGCGCCTGAATCAGGAGGGCCGTCGCGGCTCCGCCGACTGGCAGGACCAGGGCGACAGCGACTCGGAAATCAGCGAGAACGATTTTCTCACCAAGGGCGCCTTCCTGCTCACCCCGAGCCACGAGCTCAGCATGGAGAAGGCCGCCACCATCTGCGAGAAGATGAACTTCCGGTGAGAACCACTTTGGCGAGCCACGACTTGCCGTTCGACACGAGGATTTACCTTCCGGATCTTGATAAGAGAGAGAGCGAGAAAAAGGGAGAGAGAAAGAAATGTTAAAACGGGCGTGTACTCCGATAACTATAATGAACGAGCTTGAAGCGTCATCAGTGTTTTAATTACTTTATCTTGCATTCGTCGGTCCGAGAAATTACACTACCATTATTGCAAAAAATGCACATGTATTTATGCAAAATTTGACGATAAGGAATATTTAGAAATGTGTAATTTGATCAAATCTTTAATACCACTACCTTTTTAAATCGATTTGTGATGGATTATTTTGTTCCATTGTGCAAGGACTACTTTTACTTTTTCTATCTTTTAAAATGAAATCGAAAATTTCGAAATGAGAAGATATAAATTATATTTTTGAATGAATTTACATTTACAAAAATTAATTATTTTGAACTCTTTGAAGTTTGAAAAATAAAAATTACAGAATTATATATAATGCTAAAATATTTTATATGCACAAAAACCGCGGTTTATGCTAAAATTTTATTCTTACTGACTCATAAGTTCTTCCTGACTATTGTGTAAGTTATTTCGACTATCGCTTAGTTTAATCCACAAGAAATCCTAAAGTGCTTCGTGTTCGAATCGAATCTAAAAGTAGTTAAGTCAGCTGGCGCGTCGCACAAGTAGTAGAAGCAGTAACAGGTCGGACAACAAATCCATTAAACCAACTACGTACTCCGATTCGGTGTATGTGTGTGTGTTATGAGCATAAACTTTTTTGCACATCGGCAACCAGCGCATGAGGATGGCAGAAATTCACTCACAATTAACATCGCAAAGCCAAACAGAGTGAACTAACTTTTAACCGCGGAATTATTCCGACTTATAAAAAATCATAGAAGATAATATATATCATTAATATATCTCATTCACGCGTCGAATTCCATGCCTGAATATATTTTTATTATAATCGATTTTTATATTATAATCAAAACGATCCTCTGTTATATGATCTATAGAGGCGCATTTTCTTTGACGAAAACCGCCACCGGCATTCTCTTCAAGTTCAGCAACATCGAGGACTTTCAGGCCGTGTTTAAAAAGGGTTTTCACAAAGTGACAGGCGCTCGTTTCTACAAAAAGGTGAATACTCTCCCGTATCAACGAATTTTCACGCCTTAATTAACTCCGCGCTTATCACAGATATTTTAATATCGCTTTATAAATAAATTATGGCTGACAAAATAATTATGGCGCGGCGCAAATAATATAACGCATTACTGCTTTGAGACTTTTACATCTGGTGTTATCTTTCTAAAGCTAAAGTACCTGACGCAGAGGAATGCTTTATAGTGCTTTTACAACTAATCTCGGGATCTGCATGGATTTTACCCGCCGGTAGTACAAACATATGGTTGCGGATATACAACAAAGTACAAAGGGTTTACTTGCTTGAAAGTTAACGGGAATATCTTGACAGTAACTCGCGTAAAGCAACCTATTTATATATTTGCTTTAATTTGATTATTGCAATATCGCATAAAATACGATACTACGGATTTATTAAACGCTGTATTACAGTGATCGTTAAATACTAGTTTTATTTTTCACGGAATTCGCATACTTAATCTTTAGAATAAAATTTTGCAATTTTCCAAATGAATTTCTCATCAAGAATAAATGTGATAAATTATGTACATTATAATTCATAATACATAGGTCGCTATACCGTGTAGACCGGCAAAGATCTTCACCGTCTATGTTCTTGATGTGCCCGAGGAATTGCCGGAGGACGATATTAGACACGCTCTCTACAAATATCGATCTATCGTCGAAGTAACCAGGCTACCCCTGAATACGGGAACTGTTTGTGAGTCACGAGAATGCAAATGCTTCTATATTTCTCATACCGCTGCTCTATCTCGGGGAAAATACCAGTCCCTATACATATCGTAACGTGATAGACTGCTCTCTTCTTTGAACAATTTCGAAAATATATAATTTATACTTTAACATATATAGATATAATATTCAATATATAATTATATAATATTTCAATAATATGTTTTTGTACTTGTACATATACATTTTTATATTTTGCATATATGTAGATAATTTAAGATTTCGATAATAGATTTATTTTACAAAAGGCATCTTAATTTGAAGCACTCTCGAATATAAAATATTACATTTTTTTGCATTTCGCGTAAACATCAACGAGAAATCGTGATCACAATTGACATTATTTTTGACATTATATTGTATGCACATGTATTTAAAAGTATTATTACTTTGCGCATCGAGCTACCTCAGCATGCAATAAAATGATGGTGTGTTAAAATAAATCAGTGAAGGCCATCAATGACAAGTTAAAGAGCGACGCGCAGAATCTCAACGAGCCGGCGACGATTTATACGGGGCCACCCGTTATAAGGGTTACCCTGGCCAACGTCGAGGAGACCTCGATGCTGCTGAGCCGTGGTTTGGATTTTTATGGGGCCACATATTTTCCCACCGAAACGCCCCATTCAGCCGCTCAACCCCTCGCCAAATACAAAAACAACAGGTGGGAAGTGAATTCTCTCGCTCATGCGACGCGAGCCGCGCGTGATTCATTGAACGACAAATTCGTAGCCGTGTTAAAAATTACGCGCGATATATGCCAATATCGTTCCGGCCGATATTTATAGCCCGATATTCATTAATTACTGGGACAACGCCATCGACAATACAGTATAATGACGGTTGTTTAAATGTCCGTTACTTCTAAATTAATACAGCTGTTATTAAATTGCTATTTTAAAAATGATTTATACAAAACGATTTTTCCATTATGCGTGACCGATATTCTTCCTTTATTTTTTTAATTGTGTCGTCTGCTTTAACTCGCTGCGAAAAAATTATCTATCTATCTATGCTTTATAATGTAGAATTAAAAAAGTAATGTTTAAAAAAAAAAAAAAAAAAAAGGCACCCCCTTTCACGTGTTTCGCCATTGCAGATGGATCGAGCTGGCGTCGATCGGCACGGGACAAAGAGTGAGGGACCTACTTCCGGTCTTTGACAACGCAGGCTTCAACAAATTGCCACCTCCGGCGAGCCGTGTAATAAAACCGCAAAGAAACTGACACGTTCCCCCTTCCCCCCTTCCCGGCTGACACCCCGAATTCTTCGACGGCCGCCACCGCCACCGCCGCCACCGCGATCGATAGTGGCGGCGAATCGAGGGAGGACGCCATCGCGAGAACGACGCTACGACCTGAGGATGACGACGCCAACGCAGACTAGCTCGATCGAAATTCAGAAAATGACACAAGGATTCAATTCGAGCGATTTTAATCCTTCGTCGATCGCGATGTTCGAGAGAAGAGAATCAGCCATTCGTGCACTTAGAGATAATGCATGAGGTAAAGTATAAGGAAAATTATATTTCTCGAATATCGAATGGATAATCGAATCAAGTTTTAATTTTCTATAGAGGTACTTTAAATTATTGATAGTTATTACAGGATTGATTATTGTGTTGATATCTTTGAAAAATCCTCTATAACCAACACAATTTTTCGGATCAAGAATTTTTGGATCAAAAGTAAATAATTTTTACTTTTATCTTTTACTTAAGAAAAAGAGAATTTTTATATTTACATCCCTCGCTTATAAAAAATAAAATAAAATTTGAGAGATTTTTCTTTCAAATATATATTGTCTAGTAACATTTTATATTAATCAGATTTATTATAAATTTGACAAAAAGAGATAAGAAAATTAATTAATTTTCCTAATTACATAAATTTCAAAAATAAATTTTATCTTTAAAGAGATTAATTTAACTCTGTAGTTGGTACTACTCTCTGAGTTATATAAAAAAACATTTAGTTAAAACAAAGTACAGCTATATACCTCTCAGATGCATGTGCGACCGATGGAGGGTCAAGCGTAATGTGCAAAGAGAAGCTGAATTATACGTTCGCAAATCGTAGAGCCATTTCTGGGCATGCATACGCGTAAGATACATCGTACCGTTTCACAGGTCGACGTGATTCCTCCTCCTCGTCCTCCTCCCTCCGCACACACATACACACACACACACAGTGAAGGTTCCTATTTTTCCGCTGGCGGAAAGGTCAGCGCCGCCGTATCAAACGCAATATATATATAGTATATGAAATTACTGTTCCTATCAGTCCCCTACTTTAACGCCAGTCACGCGAGTAATATTATCTTAAAACACGCCAGATTGATTACACACGCCAGAAATTAATTCGCCAACGCGCTGATTAGCAAGGTTCTCGCCGAGTAAAAGTAATCGAACGTCATACACGTGATTACTCACGAAGATGAATCACGATGATTTACGGATCTTTGAAGTTGCTTGAAACGTTAACCTTGTTTGTTATATATATTTTTTTAAAAAAGGTTGTTTACTTTAATAAATATAACTTGTTATCATATTACTTTTTATTAATTGAAAAGAGAAAAAAATGTATCATATATATATATGTGTGCTTTTATTGTACTGATAAATTTATAAATGTGTTAAACCCACTTATTAAAAAACCTTTAATTATAACATAGATTGATATGTGTACATAAGTACAAAATAGCTATTATTTTAAGAGAACACTTTTAAAATATAAACTTTCTATTAGAAGATTACAAATTTATTAATAATAATAATTAACACATTTAAATATGTATGTATGGTTAATCTAATTTTGTAATAATTTATTAACTAAGCTATTGCATATATATCGATTTTATGACGTTAAAATCTGACGGTTAGTATTTATTGTTTACTTATAATATAATATAACTGTAAACAAATGATAAACAAATATATAATATCCTTAATTAAAAGTATGACATAAATTTTGGAAAATCCCTAAATATATTAAATATTTTAAGAATCGTTAATATATTTATAGAGCAAGATTACCTTTTTTAAGACAAAATAAATCAAACACATGATGAAAAATCAACGAGAAAAAAAATTTCTCTCTAATAATTTATTTCATATATCTTAGTGTGGCTACATGCCCAAAATCCCTTTTCTATTAATATCCTTAAGGGGATCCTGGATTGATTAAACAATATCTAATAGAAGTAATATCATTAAATGGAAATAATAAGTATATAATATTGGATTAGAAAAAAGCTAAAATATTTGTGAATGAATCCTACACTAAATTGTAACATTGTTCAAATTTATATTTAAAAAAAATGTAAGTAATTTAGAAATTTGTGACATGAGAAAAATATTGAGTGTGGGTGAGAGAATGAATTTATGAGGATGAAGAAAAGGGGGAATATGGCTTTTTTGTTCCTTTACTCAAGAGTTTAGTCGACATAAACGTCGCCGTTTTTTATTACTGAGCGGCAATTCAATAACGATGACATTTACTTTGCGCGCATGCAATGTACATGCGCTTATTAGGATATATATTATGCCACCCGCGCGCACGTTACGTAACCGGTAATATATTCCGTTATATAAACGTTCCATTGCAATTACGTAATGCCCGTGTATGGATGGGACGTATCTACTTGATGACTTGATCGTGATATATGCAACCGTACTTCGCCATTCGCGTGAAAGCCATAACGACGTACATGCCTCCTTATTAGAAGGATTACAATCCGTACTACAATGTATCGCGTATGCTTATCACTTTGCGGTACATTTATTTTAAATAATTCCGTTATCGTCCTCTACGTAAGTGGCGAAACGGAGTCGCAATAAGAATTTAAAAAAGGTAGTAAAATTTTTCTTCTTTTCCTTCCTCCTCTTTCTCTCTCGCGTAACTTGAATTAGATATACTTCAAAGATTAATCTTTTAAAACTTCAGAGCATTTTTTGAATATAAAATAATCACATTTGAATTGTTATCCTTATTTCCCGTATAAAAAAATAAAAAAAAGAGAGAAAGTCGAAGAAAAAAGAAAGCGATGATTATACTTGCGTCTTATAACGCACTTTATTTTTGATTATTTTCACTTCCGACGGGGACGAGAAGAGTGCCCGTCGCTTTTAACAAGGAGAGACTTTATCAGGAAAAGAGCCCGTGGAAAGAGAGAAACTTGGCCGCGATGAGTGGTGGTCACAGGAGGGTATAAGTAATTCTCCGAGAATGCTATTACGTCCTGCTGCGCCTTCGCTCGGGGGCGAGGGCTATTTCAACGCGTAATATGAGAGAGGGTGGATATGGGAGGTGGTAAATGTCAGCTATGTATGAAAGAGAGTGCCGCCATAAGAGAGCGAACGTGGCGCGGACAGAGCCGGGTTATCCGCCATCGCGCAGGGGTTGGGGAACGGGGGTTATCCACGGCCCTGGTAAGAAGCTCTGGGGACCGGCGATAAATTGTGTGCGTCTTCTGAAAAAATCTCAGGTAACTTAAAATATTGTACGGGTTTTTGTCCTAAACATATGAGAGAAAACACGTCCGTGGGCGAGGGAATATAGAGTTGAACGGCGTCATTCGCTGTTTGCGGGTTATTCGTTACAAACTAAAGGACGGGCAATGTCTTCTGTCTCTCACATAATTTTACGCAATTTACTTATAATTCAGCTGTACGAATATAATTGAAAAATATTTATGTTTGTAATAATAATTGAGATTTCAAAAAATATAAAAATTATAATAGTACGCTTTGATCAAATTATGCACATCTTGTAATGAAATAATTCAATAATAAATGTGCTTTGTAATAATATACATTTGATTTATTTAGTGCATTAATAATTGTCAGAATATCTTTTATAAATTTTCTTGAAATTTATTTTAATTAAAAAATAACGGCATATAATAAAATACATATATTTTTTTATTATTTATAAATTATTATAAATACCCAAATGCAAGGAAGGATTGCGCAAAAACGACTTTACCCTCTAAGTGTATTGTGTGAAAAATACGCGGAACGACAACTGCCGCCAATTTACCCACTCCAAATTTTGATGCAACGCGGCGGATTTTTAGGACGAGTTAAAGTGAGAAACCTAGTTTTGTTAATGGCCGTAACTTTATTCCAGAGGACGAAGCCCGAGCGGTCGAGCTTCGTTCACCAACAAGTGCCATTATCACCGCCTCTCGACTTTGTAACCATAGACTAATTTCGCTTGAAGAGTCCGCCGGACATTTAACCGATTTTTTTTAGTCTCCGTCTCCGCAAATTCCAATTTTGCGCGCAAAGAAATTTTCGAAAGTTAAGCGCGACGAGTAATTGCATTCTCCCTGTGATGACTACGAAGAAATACGCGGTTACGTAATCACTGACTTTCATCGGGCATAATTTAGAATCTATTCAGCATATATCTACGTAAAGAATAAAAATCAAAAATCTTGGCCATTTTTATTATAAATTAATTTTAATCCGCAAACAGAGAGCATTAATTAGTCGTTCAGTTTAAGGACTTTATAATATGTTGGTTTCAATGACTTATACTGGTTTCGCCATTTATTGTACAACGTCTCTAATCATTAAGATTACTTTTATTTTATAATTGAAAATGACATTAAAGAGATCACTGAAAGTCTGCTCAATTCTTCAGGCTCTTGACAAAGTTGTAAATTTTTTTTTTTTTTTTTGCGCAAATATATCAAATACTATCAAAATAGATTTTCACAAGTTTGAAAATAGATTTTACTCCTTTCCAACGAGCGTGTTAATAAAACACGGTGACGTTGTCGGAGAATTGACTGCAGGTAAATTATTTAATCGACACTATTTCAATCCGGAGAAAAAATAGTAATGTATCTCTTGGAAAAATAAGACAGATCGGTTTATTCGAGTGGAAATACGGTAACTCGGCCGAATCGAAATCACTGTTGAGTCGGCTCGTTCGCCGGAACGGGAAAGCGTGTCGAATCGATTAAAAATGTATGCGGAACGTGTGCTAAGCAGCGGATAGGCTTCGAGAAGAGGCCTCGGGGGATCACCTCGAGCGCACGAGAGAGGGAGGCGTTCGTTTATCAAGCGTTCGAGAAAGGAACGAGAATCGATCGGAGGATCGAGCAAGGGCTTGCTTGCCAGGCAAGCTCGAATATTACAAGCGACGAGAGGGATGGAGAAGGAGATACGGAAAGAGAGAGATAGAGAGGATAGCGAAACGCCTGGTAAGCATCTCTGAAGGACCATTCCCTCGAAGCTTGTGCGTTACTAATCGCATTGGAGTCATCTATATTATTACGAAGCTCCTGCGCATAACCCCCTGAGCACGCTATAGGTACGTGGATGCAAAGGTCCCAACCGATCGGTCCTCCCTCGCCTCTTTGCTCCATCGACTGCGCATCCTCCTTCGGCCCTTATTACCTACGGCTCTTCCTCTCTCTCTCTCTCTCCTTTCGTTCTGTGCCCTGCTTCGACATCCTGCAGGCTTCCGCGCACGTGCTCTTGCAGGAACGCGCA